ATGCACGTATTTGTTTCAAAATAATACAAAAATTGGATTGTGAAAAAGTGCAATTAAAACACATTCATTAGTGTACTGATAATTAAGTGCGCCACAATTTCAGCAAATATGAAGACATTGAAAACAATAAAAATAAAATGCAGATATTGTAGTAATACCTCTTTTATTCAATTTTTAGTATGTTATTCATATTTTCATGATCAATATCATTCGAATATGTAATTTATTAATGTGTTGGATTAATAACAAATTTAAACTTTACTATTATTTAATTTCATTATAAAGTTCACTTAATGACTCCCTATTGTTTGTTAATAAGCAGCTAAGTTATGATTATTTTGTATGCAAATATTTGAATTATTATTACATTCAAAAATATATAAAGTAAAAATAGAAAACAAAGCTGTACGCTTCATGAGTTGTGTCTGAAGCGTCCGCAACCTAACTATCGGCGCAACAATAAACCGAAGAAATTATTGATTAAAATCATACATGTATTGGGTGAAATAATTATTACTCCTTTTAAGATCTCCTAAATCGTAATAGTAGGGCAATTTGATTTTAAATTTTCGTAGTACAGGAGCAATCATCATATAACGTTTCATTTTAAATGAAATTATTTCAAAAATTTACATACATTTCAGGTTACGTTTAAAGGTTGTCGTTTTTTTACTAGAATGTTATAATTATTCTGTATTTATTTTTTAATAACTATTAAAACAAATACAATGATTTATGATATAAGATCACTGAATCAGATTTAATGAATATATTATGCATTGAATACTTTGCTGATACTAGTCTTATATTTATTTTATAATAAAAGTTTAATGAATGCCAAAGTGGCACGACATAAAAAACAACTTTAACGAAAACTTTAACTATAAAATTCTTGTTGGATACATATCTGCTCTATTTTCACAGCTGAACAGATATTAATGTTAATAATAATTGTTATTTCTGTATGATATATAGAGTGACTATTAGCTCAACAATATATAAAAAATGCCATGTAACTGCATGTAAAGATATAACAAATTGGACTTGGTCAAGTATGCGGAATGTGTGCAGATGCCTGAGAAGTGAATGCGGTATATTTTGTGGATTTTACGAGAGTTTTGGGGCGGTAGATGGTTAACAGAAGTGACAGAGTTAAGATTGAGATTACCTGTGACGAGGAAATTATAAGTATTTGGATGTGGAGACGAAGAGGTGAAAATAAAGAGTATCAAAGTGTGAGGATAGAGGTTAGGTTAGCATGAGTTGGCGTAATTGAATAGAAGGGTCGAATACGGAATAAGGAATAGGCAGACGGTAAAAGTTTTGTGATCGTAAAATGGAGGGAAAACAGAAAAAGCAAGTAAGAAAATGAGAAAGAGCTAAATAAAATAGGTTGGGGTGGCATGAAGACAGGGAATAGGAAAGTGTGTTCCCTATCATACGCAGATGATATTGTAGCATTAGCCAAGAAAGAAGAAGATATGAGGGCAATGTGCGCATGGAGGCAATGAGGGCAATTAGAAAAATATCTAGACAAGGAGTTAAGGCTGAATACAGAAAAGTCTAAGATGCTAGTGTTTGGAAAGGGAAGAAGAAAGAAAAGGAAAATCATTTGGAAATGGAAAGATAAATGAATATTTACAAAAAAAAAAGGAGTAAAAAAAAGCAAATGAGACAATGAAGCAAGTGTGGGGCATAGGGAAAAGAATTTTTAAGGATAACTTTAAGAGAAGAATGCTCATGTTCGATTACCTTATAAAAGTAATTTTGTTATATAAAGTGGAATTGTTTAGATGGAAAAAAAGGATAGAAGTTAGGGCAGTACAAGTAAAATATATTAAACAGTGTTTGGGTTTAGATAGATGTACGCCATCATACATAGTCCTACAAGAGATGAACAGGGGTAAGCTTAGAATACAAGCGGGAAGAAGAATATTAAATTACGAAGAAAGGATCAGAACGGATGGGAGTAGTAACTTACTAAAAGAATGAATCAAAGAAAAGAATGAAAGAATGGACAAAACATGGTGGGGGAAGGAAAGGATAAAATATATGAGAAAAAGTGGATGAAGTCAGAATAAAGTAGAACAATTGAGATATAGAGGGAAAGATATAGTGAAAATTCTGATAGATAGGGATAGAGAAATGCAAGGGCAAGAGTGAATAAATAGGGTAAATGCAGTGAAATATAACAGAATGTATAAACACATCATATGTTTTATATTATCAGAGTACCTGTGGAAGGAGGTGAGAGGCAATAGTCAAAAATTGAGAATGTGACGTGGCAATACAGAAGCACACAATAGGTATTGGGAGAGCAGTGAAAAGAGAATGTGCATAATATGTGAACAAGGATTAGGAACATTGAAACCCTGGATTGAAGAGTGTGAAGGAATAGAGAAAGGAAAATGTTCATTAGTGGAAGTTTTAAAGGGCAGGATAAAGGAGAATGGCTGAGAATATTAGACATGAAATTAAAAGATAAGAAGAGAAGGAAGCAATATATAATATAGGAAAATATAAATATAATGTATTAAACCTAAGACTGTAAATAGATGATATTGAACGTGTAACATATAAGAATAATTTGCTTTGTTAAGTACAAAAATGCATAAGTTAAGGAATTTATACTAGATAGAGTGCACTTTATATATAGGTTTATAG